TTATGAACTTTAATATGCATTATACAGAGGCAAGTGGAAAAGAAAAAATACCATCTACATTTTTCTAAAGACAGTAAGTTCCCCTCAGACATACATTCATATAAACTCCTACACCTAAATGAATCGCGATTTGTTTAGCATCTCAACCGAATTGAATAGTCATATATTTGAATCGATTTTCAACCGGCTCGAGGTTAGTCATTACATCCCTAATTATAATGTTTGCCTTTCTATTACTAATAATATAAAAGCAATCATTATAGTACTTTTTGTGCACCTTTTAATTCCTTTGTTTAACATGCAATCTGATTATTAGACAGACTTCTATCTGTATTAGACAGAACTGTTAAACGACGACAGCAAACGATGAAGAGGGAGAACGTGAGCGCTGTGTGCCGTTCTCAGCGCCGTCAAAATAAAAGTCTCAAACATATCGGCCGATATATCGGTCAACCACTGCACACATATGCCTAATTAGAAGAAAGCATTTTCAGGATAAATAACCAAATATTGCACCATTATGCTTACTATATCAAGAGAAGCAGAAATTGTGATCATGATTAAAACGTGATTTATCATGCAGCGGGTTGGTTCGACTGGAGTAATTGGTCACAGTTTCATCAGTCGTCCGGTTATTCAGAAAGAAGTCTGTCGACATTTCCAGATTTCACCATTTTCTGCCCGATGGTGAAGATGCCGTCAGCTCTTGTGTTACGGTTTTAATGGCAGGCGGTTGGGAAATCAGTTTGTACAGTTTGCGTGTTTTTGTGCATAATTAGTTTGATCAAGCAATATATTACAGACATGGACGCAGATCCCATTCAGATAATTTCCCTGCACTTTATATAGAAATATATTTTTAGAAATGTACATATGAGATTATCGGTTGTGTCAATATTCCTCCTGATGATTAATATTATTATTATTTTCATTGCAGTAAACGAATAGTGATATAAGCTTGCCACGAAGCGTCATGTTGTTCTTTCAGGCGTTTAATCGCTCGGCTTGATCGTTTTTATGTATTTGACTGCATAGAACTTTATCCATAAAGAGAAAAACCAATGTGGTGTAAATGTTTTTGTTGTTGTTTTGGAATAAACTTTTGTGAATGTAAGAACTGCTTCAGTTTGTGTTATCGGATGTTTCATTGACACTGAAGTAAATCCACAATTAAATATTCTGAAAATGTAGAGAATTGCACCTGCTGTTTCTCAAAATGAATTTTTGTGTCTCTTCATTCTTGACATCCTGCTGAATGATGATGCGTTTCCTCTCCGTCACTGACGGACTGAATCCTGTCCTTAAAAACAGTCCTAAAATTCAGTCTTAGAAAACGTCAAATATTTCTTGGGTCATATTTGGTTTAAAAACGGATGCAAACATCGACAGACGAAACCGTTCTTTATATTAAAAACAATTGTACAAATGAAAATGTGGTTATACTGACAAAGTCACAAAGTCCGGTCAAATAAACAAATTCATTTACAGTTCAAAAAGAAGAGTTTGATGATAAAACCTGTTCAGTAATCAGCACTGTGATTGGTTTATTTCAGACGTCATGTGACTGAGCACCTTCAGTCATCAGACGTGATGCACAGAATAAACAAACTCAATATCCAGCTGCTCCAAATACATATTCTGACTGTACGAGCAAACGAGATTCATTCATTATCTTCAGATTATTTAGGCTGATTGATGTGAAATATGGGAGACAAACGTACTCGTGGAACTGAAGAGTGTTGTGTTTGAGAAGCAGTACTCCAGCACTCGACTGTCCCAGATGTGTCAGAATGAAGGCAAACCGCTGCTGATTTCACACAATAGTTTGCATTTAACCAACTAGGAAACTAGGCTACAAGAAAAACTACTTCTTATGCAGTGCTGGGAAGGTTACTGTGGAAATGTATCAGGTTACAAGTTACCCTATTTAAAATGTAACAAGTAGTGTAACTATTTCAAATACTTTATTACAGTAATGTAACAGATTACTTTTCTACATTTCTAAAGTTTTCAACTGTTAATCAATTCAGACATTTACACCAGGCAGGGTTAACATTACAGTGACGTTCTGAAGTTAAATACAGATTGAATATCATAAGAAATAATTGAATAGCTAAAATACTGTTTTTGAAATCAAATCTTTACATAGCTATGACAGGAAACGCTGGCATCTAACAATGCCTTGGAAAAAAAACAAAGCGTACATATAAACCCAAATATGAAATAAAACAGTTATGGAATAAGCATGTGTCCTAAAGAAATCAGTTAAATCTTTATATGTGTGTGTGTGTGAGAGTGAGTGTACCTGGTATTTATCACGTTATGGGGACCAAATGTCCCCACAAGGATAGTAATACTATCAACAACATTAACCAACCCATGACTGGTGATCGTCATTCCTCCAAACCTCAGCTGTGATGAGGAGCAGATCTCCAGGATGAAGAAACCGACTGTTATGAAGCAGATGATCTCAGAGCCATCAGACATAAAGTCACAAAATAAAAGTGTGATTTCATGGGGGTTTAAAATTCTGCTTAGCCGCTAATTAGCTGCGAGAGTCACGTGAGAGTGAGATTATTAACATGAACGTGTACAGTTAAAGAGCACAAGACAAAACGTGTATTTTAAACCTTGAGAGAGTGTGTTCCAGAAGATGCTGAACTTCAGTCCAGCTGTTTATGATCAACAACATTAACCAACCCATGACTGGTGATCGTCATTCCTCCAAACCTCAGCTGTGATGAGGAGCAGATCTCCAGGATGAAGAAACCGACTGTTATGAAGCAGATGATCTCAGAGCCATCAGACATAAAGTCACAAAATACAAGTGTGATTTCATGGGGGTTTAAAATTCTGCTTAGCCGCTAATTAGCTGCGAGAGTCACGTGAGAGTGAGATTATTAACATGAACGTGTACAGTTAAAGAGCACAAGACAAAACGTGTATTTTAA